CAAATAGAGCAGGATCATGTAATGATACAATTAATTCTGGTTCAACAACAAGTGTGAGGAGAAACTAGTGGAGTTTGTATTAATCACAATAGGAAGCAAATAAGAATTAGGTAGAGGATCATATGGATCAGTTAAATTATAGTAACAGATATATAGATGGTTTATTGAAGGCAATATAGATTGTATGATTTTGATTTAAATTTGTAGATGAATAAGAGATAAGTTTTTGAATATTGCTCAGTAGAAAACCTAAACAGAGAAATTAAAATATCAAGAAGACTTCCACATCTTCATATATGCAAATTGCATCACTTTTGAAAATAAAGAAAATATGAATCTTGAATATGCATGTATAATTTCTTTATTAAATAGAAAAGGGATTATTGTTTAAGTATATTAAAAAACGATCTAAAATTGTCTGAAAATGAAGCAATTGATTATTTGCATAAATAAGATAATTCATAAAGATCTTAAACCTGAAGATCTACTTTTGGATCATGAAGGTAAAATAAATATATTTGAATTTGGATGGAGCCCTGAAAGTTTAGCTGAAAAAAGAAAGCCATTTTGTGGTACTTTTGAATATATGTATTATATCGAATATCTTAATATATTGGCGGCACTTGAAATGATAAATAAATAATCACATGATTTTAGTTTAGATATTTAGAGTTTAGGTATATTATTATATTAATTATTATATGAAAATTCATTCACATTATCAAATGAAGTTATTTCATACATTAAAGCAATTCTTAAATATATACCAGAAGAAAGTTTAACTATGGATTAAATTTTTAATAATTCATGGATGGCTAAACATTATTCTAATTGTAATATTGACGTTTGGACATATGTATATAAAACATAAGACCCATCAAGACAAATTTCAACTGTTAATTTTTAATAAAAATAAAGCCTGTTGAATTTCAAAATAAAGAACCATTGTCTAGATCAATTTCATAAAAATAATATAAATTAAAAAAATAATCTAATAATTATAATCCAGATTAAACTAATCCTAATAACAAATAAGAGTAAAAGTTAATCACTCATATGCTCATAAATAAATAATATTAAATAATTAAGTCTAATCAAGTTTGATTATATTACTAAAAATTCTAATCAAAATATTGATCAAATTAAAAATAGGAAGGGTAAACTCAATCTTGCATAACCTACATCTATAAATCATAAATTAATACCTTAAAAAGATTATTTAAAATTATTACCTTATAATTATGAATTTATTGAAAATTATATCGAAAATATAAAATCATAATGACAGGCTCAATAAGAAAATTATAAAGTGAAGTAACTAACGGTTTAATTTAAATATATAATTAATTTTAAATTAATAAAAAATTATTAAGTGTAATTGAACATGACTTTTGTAGAGAATAACCAATGAAAATCAATTTAAAAGTATAATTTAATATAATAAGCATTTAGGATATTTACAACAAAACTAAGATTTTGTAATGCGAAATTGATTGATTATCTAAAATACTGCAATAGAAAAACTGAAGCATTGTTTTGATAAGTTCATAGTGGACTTAATCAAGGCAATTTATCTTATGGGTAGTTAAATGATTCATTATATAATTAGAAGAGAACATATCTAAGTTGATGTTGTAATATTTGAATGAATAACTCAAATTCAGTTCAAATTTTGATTCCATTATTGGTATATTTTTTCTTATCTTTTGATTGTCTCCGTCAAGGTTTACATATTTCTTATAATCTAATATTGTAGATTGTTGCCCTCTAAGTTTAATCGTCTGATTCCTTGTAATTGTCTTGTTTAAACTCTAAAAAGATGTTCATAGAGAAAGAGTAACTACAAAAAATCTTTTGGCTTATAAGCTTTTGTTTTTGATTCGAGAATTCCTAACTTTCTCAATAGAAGAATTAAAATTCAATTTTGAATTCATATGCAGAACTTTTCAGTTTAATGTTCTTTTCATGGAATTTATGTGAAAGCGTTATACTTTTAAATTCTTTAATTCAATATTCTCCAAAACTCCATATAAATTAACTTACTCCTTTATTTAATAATTATTATAAATTAAGGAGCACATAACTTTTAAAAAAGTTGTGTTTCTTCTTTAAATATTATGTAACCATTACAAGTGAGATTTATTTTTAAGACTAGACTTTTATCTACTTTCGTTGCTCTTTTGGAAACTGAGTTTAGGTTCTTAAATAAGTATACTGATTTATCTACACTTCTCTCTTATTTTAGCAAGATCCTTAATATCAACAGATAATTCCTTAATCATTAAATGAGTTGATCCATCATAAAATTGACTTAAAAGTAAGAATGCTAAATTATATTAAAATTAAATTTATATTAAACTTTTGTTTAAAGAATCAAATTATGTGTTTCTATTTAAAATAGGATCCATCTCCTCAGTATTAATAAAATTTTTCAATTCTTTAATATTAATCATTCAAAAAAAATTATCCAGTTAATTTTATCTGTTAAAAAAAATTTTCTAACAATTTCTTATTCAACCAAAATTGCACAATAGAAATTTACATTGCTAATTCAAAAATAGATCCGCATATTTTAATCTATTCTCTCAATTCAATTTTGCTAAAACAAATTCCTTTTTTTTTCTCTATTTAAAAGATTTCTTAATTAAGAAAAAATATAATGTTAATATAGTTGAACAATAAAAAAAAATGTAGTTTGAATATTTTAAATTATTCTAAAAATACGCAATAAATAATTACCTGGTAAAGAAATAAAGTTTTAAATATATTTTATTGTTCATTAATTTATTAATATTTTTTATTTATTGAATGATTTAAACAAAAATGATAGAATTTGAAAAATAATTGAATTGCAGTTAAAATCATAATCAACCAATACAAATGGTTGTATTAGACAAAAAATTAAAGAGATAGGAACGTCTTTTGTGTAATATTTGCATGGAAACTTTTAATTCAGATAGTAAAATGATCGAATTCAAGAAGGTAATTAAATTGTTTGAAGATAATTAAAATAATGCTAGAAATAATGTCTAAAATGTGATTTAAGTTAATGTAGATTTAATTGAATAGTTCTAGAATGAATTATATAAAATATATTAAAGTTTCATTAAATAATTCAATGAAATGATATCTAATTTTGTAGATTGGATCAAAAGTCTTATTGAGATAGGAAAAGGTAATTCATAATATAGTTTTTATGATGAATTAGAATTATTAATTAGTAATACATCAAAATAAGAACAATTAATAGACTAAATTAAAGTACTTAATAATTCATTTTTTTCTAAAATTAATTTGATATTATCTAATCTTAAGAACTTAGACTTATATTCATAATGTGAAAAATACTTTTAAAATTGGAATTTATCCCATCAAATTAAAATGACTGATATTTCAATTAAGTTAGCAGATCCAATTTATTCAATCAAATTGATTGATAATTCAATTAAATAAACCATAGAATGTTATGCAATCTCTTTTAATTCATCTGGATCACTTATGATATCTGCTTCTAATTAGGATATTAAAGTATGGAATTTTGCTTAAGGAAGATTAAAAGAGATAACAACACTTAAAGAACACACTAATACTATCTTTTGTCTTTAATTTAGTCAGAAGAGTAATAGTTTTATATCAGCTGATAATGTTAATTCAATTAGATGTTGGAAATAAATAAATGAAAAAGAATGGAAAAGTTCCAATTAAAAACAAACTAATTAAATATACTGTTTAATCTTAAATTAATCTGAAAACGAGTTAGTTTCTGGTGGAAAAGAATATTCAATTAAAATTTGGTAAATTGATTTTAAAAAGAATAAGTTATCTTATCTTTACTCATTAGATAAACATACTAATTATGTTTCAGGTTTAAGCTTTAATAAGTCTGAAAATATGTTGGTTTCGTGTGGATATGATAATTAAATAATAATTTGGAAAAAAGATAATAAATAGAAATGGCTATTTGATTATGTAGTTACATAACCTGTTTAAGTTTCAGGATGTAGATTGTGTTTTATAAATGATAATTAATTTATTTGGCTAACAGGAAATTAAGTAAGCAAGGATTGTATCAGTATGTTTGAATTAAAAGATGGAACATATCAAGAAAATTTAGATAAAGAAGTTAAATTAATTAAAAATGATAAGACTTGGGATTTGAATTTGTATCCTATCTTTTATAATAAAGAAAAAAGTTTGATGGTTATTAAACATAAATTACATGTCTATATAATTAAAATATCAAACAATGGCTAATTAAATATAATTACATAGATCGAATATGAATCAACATATATATTTGGAGCATTAAGTAACGATGGGAGATATTTAGTTACTTGGAATAAGGCTGGACAGAAATACGATACTTATGAAATATTGATTAATTGAATACTAACAGATTTACTTATTTATTTTTAAGTATGTTACATTATGGTTTTATAGTTGGTTACTATTCAAACCTTACGACGCTTCTCTTTTTGCATTTTCATTTGTGAACATATGCAAAGTGAAAAAAAGATTGTTGAATTTTAATTAATTATTTAATATTTTATTAATATAAAATTATTTTTTTTTAAATACAATACTGCTGTTAGTGATGATAAAATAACTCAAAAAACTCTGACTCTTGATTAGCCACTTATTTAAAAATAATTTTCAACTGTTGAAACTTGTAGAAGAGGTTAATTCCCTATGAAAGTTGAAGTAGGTTAATTGACTAGAAACTTTGTTATTTAAGATGAAGAATCAGATTTGAAATATTGCTATCATTAATGATTCATGGAAAAGCTGAAAAAGGATCAATTGGTAAGATAATGTATGCATAATTCAGATGTGGTTGCCAACCAGAATTATTGGTAGATATCGAGTTAGCACTAAATTAAGTTGGATAATATTATAAACAGATATCACTGTGGTTATTTATTGGATTACAAATCCATAAAATCTTTTAAGAAGAAATAGATTAGGAGGTTCCGAAAGATATATATTTTGGCATGAAATTAAAACAAATTCGGAAGGTCCACCAGTCATTTAGATATTTATCTTTCTGGACTAATATACTTGAGTTCAAGAATAACTGATAGTAGATTTGGTTTCATATCTTCTAAAAGGAACCAAGAAAGTTTCCTTGTATCGATCCAGCTTATTAGGCAAATGATTAGCCATATATAGAAAATCCAAGTCTAGGTGTTTTTGGAAAATT